AAAAGAATTCTTTTTGAAAAAAAGAGAGAATATCTAGAAGGGATCGTGCCTTGCCACCCTCCTGGGGGAGGGGTGATCCCCCCACCCCCCCGTCGCTCTTTAGAGTGTACAAACCCAAGGCTTGCCATCCTCCTGGGGGAGGGGTGATCCCCCCACTCCCCCGTCGCTCTTTAGAGTGTACAAACCCAATATATAGCAAAACAAAAACCAAAAAAAGGAGCTAGCTTAGGTGAAGAGAGGACACTAGGTGGTCCCCAGCCTAATCCAGATTGAGAACCAGTGACATAGACTCTGGAGGACCATGTGAAGACAAGGGCAAAAGAGGGTCATCATAAACCAAGGAGAGGGGTCTCCAAATGAAGCTGACTCTGCCGGCACTGGATCTTGGACTTCGAGGCTCCAGGACACCGAGAACACTAACTTCTGTTGTTCATGCTACCCATCGTCTTGGGAGTCTGTCTCAGACACTTCACAGGACTGGGCTCACACAGTATGTGGCCCTTCGTGATTGGCCTCTCACTCGGCATAAAGCTTCCATGGCTCATCTACGTTTCAGCATGCCTGCCACGTTCCTTCTTTCCCATGGTTGGCTACTATTCACTGCCAGAACTGGGGCGGCATACATGCCTGCAGGCCCAGCGACTTGAGAGGCTGAGGCAGGAGGGTCACAAGTTTAAGGACAGCCTGGACAACATACTGGCAAGTGCATTCGAAGACAGAGAGTGCGACAAAGCATCCCGATGAGGCCAGGTCACACACAGTCCTTTCTCCATTTCTCCATCCAGTCGGGATTTGGGGCACGAACACATGCCTGGCATGTTTTTCAAGTCACTGGGCCCAGGACAAACTGTGCAGGTAGCCATATAGGATCCGGCTCCCTTAACCACTAGGCTATTATGAATAATGATGCGAGAACATTCATGTCAAGATTTTATGTGGTGGGACAAGCAGATGGAGTGGTTTTGTCTCTGGACAAACCGTGATTCAACTGCTGGACTCAGCAGCTTAAAACTCACTCTGGGCACTTGTGCGTGTGTGCCCAAAATCCCAAGATGAGAATGGAGAAGGGATTTCGGTGTGGTCATCCCCCCTGGGGGGTGATTTCTCACTTTCTGTCTCCCTGGCAAGCACACGTGCCCCATAGCAAAAATCTCTCTCAACTACCAAAAAAAATTTTTTATGTGGGGCCAGCAGGTTACGTGAAGGTTGAGGTGCTGGACTTTCACATGGTTGACCAGTTTGAGTTCTGAACCTGGCGGCTTGCTTTCTCACGTTCCCTTTGTGTCTCTGCCTCTCTGGTGAGACACCAAGACTGGTTGATATGCAGGTCACAGGCCTAGGGTTGCATGGGCTTCTGGTCTTGAGAAGCAAGAAATACAGATATGCAGATTTTTATATGAAATCTCCTGAATACTGAATACCATCAACCAACCCAGAAATATCTAGCCCTTACGGGGCCAGCAAGTGGTGTGGTGAAGAATACTGGATTTCCACATGGCTGACTGAGGTTCGATTCCCGGACCTGGGGCTTGCTTTCTCACTTTCCCTCTCTCTCTCTCTCTGTCCCTCTCTGGTCAAATTGAAATAAACAAATAAATAAATAATGTTAAATAAAATAATTAATTAAAAAAATATCTGGCCCTCCCACACTCAATTGTGACTCTTCATCAGGCCCAAACTTTCTTCACTTTTCTTTTTTTAAAGCATTATTTATTTGGGACCAGCAGATGGCATAATGGCTGCATTGCTGGACTCCTACATGGTTGACGGTGGTTCATATCCTGGATCTGGTAGCTTGAAACACCAGGCATGAAGCCAATGACTGGTTGGTGTCTGGTCCCAAGAGACCAAGAATATCTCTTATCCAAGGTCCTTACTTGGATTCTTTACTTTTGCCTTGACACTGAAGTCAAGTATCATTTGTCATCTTAGCTTGACCCCTTTCCCACCCTAGTCCAGAAACATGACAGAAGGACATCCCAGGGCCCCTCTGCCATGATCAGTTGGACCCTTGGAGAAAATCTCTTTCCC